TTGGGATCCGGCGGGGGCGGGCAAAGCCCGGCACTTTCGCCTTTGCTCGCCTGTACTGACGCACGGACGCCGGGGGCGCCCGCGGGCGCCGCCACATCGGGCACAGTGCACTTCCAATCGGACGGCTCGGACAATGCCTCGCAGGTGGTCGGCCATTGCCTGTACCCGATTCACGCGCTGCTGCCCAAGAAGCCGCCCAAGTCCACCAGCAAGCCGCACGACCTGGTCGAGCCGCGGTGGATTGTCATGGACCCGGCCCCGGCGGCGGTGCCGATTTCCCAGCCGCCGGGCCTGACCGGGACCCTCGGGGCGCATGGCGACACGCTGGCCGGCCAGCCTGCCTCGCTGCCCTCCTCGTCCGGGTCCTCGCTGTCGGTCGGCTCGCTAGATCGGAAGAGCGTCGTGCCGGGACCCTCGGGGCGCATGGCGACACGCTGGCCGGCCAGCCTGCCTCGCTGCCCTCCTCGTCCGGGTCCTCGCTGTCGGTCGGCTCGCTGCCCGGGCTGTCGCTGCTGGGGACCCGGCGGCGGCCGGCCGCCGTGGCCCCCCAACGGGCCGGCCCGATTGCCTATGCCAAGCTGCGCTTTGAGGGGATGGACACCGGGTGCGTGCTCCCGTGGCTGCCGGGTCTTTGGCGGGGGGGGGGGTCTTTCTTCTTTTCCCCTGCTGCTTCCCCGGCCCCGCCCCCTGTGGTCGCCCACTGACCAGGTGTACTTTGGCCGCGCGTCCGTCCCTTTGGGCGGGGCGTGCACGTGTGGCGGCATGCGATGGCGGGCCGGCCCTCTTGGCCTCTGCGTCGACACGCCGCCAGCACTCCGGTCGTTCTGATTGAGGAGGCGCGCGTGACCAATCCCGAGTCCATCGAGGCCGACTCGCCGCTTGATTTTTATGTTAAGATTTACGCCGTGCCGGATGACAAAAAGCGCACGAAGGTGCGCACTCCACCCTGCCCCTCCCCCCCGCCCGCCCGGAGAGCCGGCGGATGGTTGCGCCTTGGACCGCCTGGGCTGGGCGGCCGCCTGGCTGGCTTGCTGACTTGTGCCCGGTGTCCCCCCCCCCCCCCGGCTGTGCGCGCCTGGCAGCAAAAGACCACCGTCAAGAAGGGCTCCTACGCGCCATACTTCCACGAGCCCTTGCGCTTGATTCCCCCCTCGAAAGGCACCCCGGTCAGCGTGCTGCAGGTGATCCTCTGCCATGCGAATAAGATGCGCCATCGGAATTTGGCCGATGTGATCATCGACATCCCGGCGGCCCTGGCCGACCAGCAGGCTGGCCGGTGGGACGGGTGGCTGCCACTGGAGCTGGCCCCCGCGGCGCCGGGGTCCCCGTACACGCCGTATGCCTGGCCACGGGCCGCCGAGGGGGCCGCCATGTCGAGCCCGCGGCCCCCGGGCCACCTGCGCATCCCGGCGGCCGACCAGGCGGCCGCTCCATCGGCATCCGGCACGCTGGTCGGCTCGCCGGCCGGGGCATCTGGCATGGCCGGCGGAACGGCGGCCCTTTCGCCGGGGCCCGGGGCCGGGGCCAGCCTCTCGTCCCCGGACCGGCTGGGAGTCACCTACCACGTGCCGGGGGGCGCTGCGGGCCCGAGCAGCCCGACGGCCGGCTCGCGGGGGCCGGTCTCGCCCGGCGGCCCGAGGACCCCGGTGGGCGCGGCGCAGCCGGCCATCTCGACGCCGGCCTCGGCCCCGGGCACCGAGGGGGGGATGATCATCCACCTGGAGGTGGACGACTCGCAGGAGCTGGACTCCGCACTGGATGTGGACTTCTCCCCGTCGGGCGGGCAGTCGCGCGGCGGCACATTGGACTCCAACTGGTCCAGCTTCACGTCGAACTTCACAGCCACCCTTGGCGGGTCGCGCGGCGGCAGCACCGGCGGCCGGGCATCGTGGCGCCGGCGCGACGCGTCGCCGGACCCCCGGGGGTCGGGCACCCTCACCGATGTCGAGTCGCTGGCCGTGCAGGAGGACCCCCATGAGGATACCTTTGTTTCTCTGGCGGCCGAGGGGGGCGCCAGCTCGCCCGGGTATGCCGGGACCTTTGCCAGCATCGCCTCCTCGCACTTTGGAACCGTCGGCCTGACGGCCGAGGAAAAGCGCCGGGCCGAGGACCTGCGCCGTGACGACCTCCTGGTAGATGACATGTCGGAGGAGGATGACTTTTGATTGGGCGAGGGGAGCGGTGCACCCCGCGGCCGAATGTACTCCCCCTCTTCCCACCGATCAGTCGTGGCTGTGGGCCGCAGATCCGGTCCCCGGGCGTGGTCCGTGGGCGCGGGGCACGGGCCTCGGTGTGCCTGGCTGGGGAAGGGTGGTCCGGGAATGGTCACTGCACGTGTATTTGTCAAGAGAAGGGGGGGGGGAGGCGCGCGACTCGCAAGGGAACTGATGGCATGCTCTGGTCGGGCCTCCGGGCTGCGGGGAGGGGGGAGGGCGCGCAGGATGTCTACAAGGAGGGAGGAAGGACAGGAGTGGGCAGGCTGCTATGAGGCACCAAGCAGTCGGACGCTGGAGAGGCTGCGCATCAGGGACTCCGACAGACGCGTGGCAACGAGGACGCCCTGCTGCAGGAGCTCCGCCGCCTGGGGGGACCGGGCGAAGAGGATCGCGTGGTCGATGAGCTTGTTGACAACTTTGGCGCCAGCCCGGCGAGGGGGGGAGGAACGGTGTGGGAGGTTGGTGGCCGTGTGCATGCGATGCGGCAGGCGCGCAATGGGGGCGTGTTGGTGTCGGTGCACGCGCGCGCGCGCGCGCGCGCGCGTGGCGCAGGGGGGAGGGGGGGGGACGCACTACGTGACAGGATGTAGCTCATTGTGAAGGACCCAAGCATGAAGGGCAGCTTGCCGAGGAAGGCGGCGATGCTGGACCGGCGTTTTTCGTTTTCCACGTCCAGCAGATCGATGTACCGCCGGAGGGCCTCCTCGCCGGCCAGGCGCGCGGTCACCCCGCGAAGGGTGGTCACTGGGACCCGCGGCGGGGACGGTCACAAGGGGCGGCGCGTGTGAGGCGAAGAAGAGGGCAGGGCAGGAAGAGGCAGGGGGGGGGGGGGGGGCATGCGACGCACCGCGCGGCGCCGGGGGAGGGCCCTCGCTGTCGGAGTCCTGCTCGAGGAAATCCTCCTCCATCTCGATGACCACATCCCCGGGAGCGAGCTTGCCCTCGGAGGACTCCCACTCGTCGAAGAGGGAGCTGGAGGAGAAGATGTTCTGGATGGAGTCGTAGTGGGCCGAAATGAGGTTGAGCTTCTGCTGGACCGCCTGCTCGAAGGCTGCCCGATCGAAGGGGACCCGGTGGACCAGGTGCAGGCGCTCGGCCTCCAGGACGATGTCCGACGGGCCGTGGGATGTCCCCCCGGGTGCCGGGGGCAGGAGCCCGGGGCCGGCCGCCAGCCCGGGCATGGGGGGCGCCGCCGCCGCCGCCGCCGCCTCCGCCGCGACGGGGAGGGCCCCGGTCGCCCGGTCTACATCCTCCTGAGTCAGGGTGTAGCGGAAGAGGCAGGATGGCCGCCCGGCAAAGGCATCATCAAAGTAGCCATCGGCGTCCTTCTCCGGGGTGGATGTCCCGCTGGCGGCCGGCGAACAGATGGACACCACCAGCAGGCAGCCGCGGTGCCCGGGCGTCGGGACGAGCGCCGAGGGGGTCGAACTGAACAGCGGCGACCCGGGGACCAGGGCATTGGTGGAGGTGAGGCTGATCGGGGAGCGCGGCGCCTCGGGCCAGGCGGCGACAGGCGCCCGCGGGGAGTGCATCCGTGCGGCGGGGCAGCGACAGCGGCAGGAAGGAAGGGGTGTAACAGCCGCGGAGGGGGGTGGAGGTGCGGAGAGGTGAGGGGGGGGGGGGGGGGGGGGGGGGGGGGGGGGGGGGGCGGGGCTGAGGGAGGCGCTGCCCGGGATGCTGAGATCGCAGCCGCCAGGGGGCGAGGATCCCGAAAAGGCCGGTCGAGTGGGCGGCGCGAGGGCGGGAAGGGGGGGTGGGGAGAGAGAGAGAGAGAGAGAGAGAGGAAGAGACAGATGCCGCGCGTGAAAGGGGGGTCACCGCCCTGTGGAGGCGGGAGGGGGGCAAGCATGCGGGGGACATCTCCGTGCAAGCCCCCCCCCCCCTGTGTGTGTGCGTCCCATCCTTCCCTGGCGGCCGCCCCCGCCAGCTGTTGGTGGGGGCGCCGGGGCGGGGGCGGGGCAGATGGCCGCCGCCGGAGCACGCAAGGGGTGGCAGCAGATGGGCGGGCATTGGCACTTCTGCTAACGTGGGCGCATCATGTGCTCCGTCATCCGGGAATGGCGTTCCGGAATGATTCCTCCCGACCTGCATGCGGGAGGCTGTGTGCCCCCGGGGCCGACCGGCCGGCGGCGGGGGGGGGGGGGGGGGGGGGGGGGCGAAAGTACAGCAGCCTCGTGCCCTTCGTTCTGCCTCCCGGCGTGCGGACGCGACCCTGGCCAGTAGTCGTGCGTGTGGAAACATGGCTGCGCCATTATGAGGGCCTCTGCGCGCCGGCTTTGGCCGGTGCCCGGCCGGGCTTTTGCGAGGCGCGCAGGGTGCCGAGGGAGGGGGGGGGATGTTCACGGAGGCACTCGCGAGGCCGGTGCGCGGGCATGCCGGCCGCCGCTGATAGGGCTGGCCTCCGCGAGACACCCCGACACGCACCCACGCTCGCCCGGCCCTCGACGGTATGTCTAGGCTGGGGATCTTCCTGGGGGGGGGGAGGAGGGCGGGAAGACGCCCTCTCGCGCCACTCGGCCTTGGGCGCGGCGGGCATTGAAAGCCCCGCTAGATGCCGTGGGACCGGGCGAGGGCCCGCCAGCGCGCGTCGATCTCCCTCCCCCCTCCCCCCTCTCCCGCCCTTTTGCGATCTTCTCTCGCGCACCCCGCCGCCCTCTCCTCCCTGGCATCCCGCCGCCGGTTCCCGGCCGCTCCCCTCGCTCGCTTCCCCGCCCCCCCCCCTCCCTTTCCCCTCCATCCCCCGGCCTTTCTGGAACCCCGAGCATCCCGTTCGACCCCGGGCCCGCCGCCAACGCCCGCCCTCTGAGACAGTGCGCGCCAGAGCATGCCTTTGCCCCCTTGTCAGCCTCGCGTGGCGCCTTTGCCGCTGGCGCGCCGGTCCAACTGACCTGTGCTCCCCTTACGTGTGGTCCCGATAATCTGGCTCCCTGCTCGCGAGCACAGAGATGCTCCGCTCCTCCTCGCGGCTGCTGCGGAAGGTGGTGAACTCGTCGCAGGTTGCGGCGAAGACCGTCTCCGCCCGCCAGACCCAGGTGTATGTGCCGGCCGCGGCGATGCCATCCTTCCTGCGGGCCGGGCCCGTGCCACGCCCTTTGGCACTGGATTGACACCGCTGACCCTGTCCCTCTCCGCCCCGCTCTCCCCTGCCCGTACATGGGTACGTGCGCACGCACGCGCACACGCACGCACGCACAGTCTGGACACCCCGAACAAGCGCCCCGACGGCGTCTACATCAACCCGGAGTCCTTCCCCAAGGTCTACCCCGAGTACAATGTCACCGCCAATGACTTCTCCCTCGATGGCCTGATCGACCTCTCGCGCGACTATCGCTTCGCCCCGGTGCGTTTGCCCTGCACAGCCCGGGCACCGGCCAGGCCGGGTGGGGGGATGGGGCGGCTCTTTTTCTTCTTCTTTTTTCGTGCGCTGGGCCGCTGCTGACCCTGCCGACTGCCTGTCCCTCGGTGCCGCGCTTGCGCACGTCCACAGTCCTGGAAGCGCACCATGTTCTTCTTCGACCCGGTCACTCGCCGCATGGTTTTCCGCGGTGGCGCTGAGACCTTCGTCGACAACGACGCCATGTGGACTCAGGCCGAGCGCGACCTGGCCAAGGCCCGCTCCGTCGACTTCCCCATCCTCGAGCGTGCGTGCTCCCTGTGACCTCGCAGGGGGGGGGGGGGGGAGCCGAGTCGCCTCGTTTGGTTCTTTCTCTTCTTCTTCCCTTTCGCCCCGGCCCCAGCTCCCTGACCCGTGTGCTCGCCCTGCTTCGCTCTCCGGCACAGGCCTCGTTGAGGACTACTACTCCCCGCGCGACATGGACATCACCGTCGAGCGGACCTCCTACTTCGATGCCTCCGAGAAGGCGCGCTACCCCCGGGCTCGGCGCTGCGTCATGCGCGTGCGCCTGGCCAGCCTGAACCTTCACGAGTCGGCCCTGCACAAGCTGAAGCTCCTGGCCGGGTCGCGCGTCAGCATCGACGGGCACATCCTGACCGTGTCCGAGGACCGGTCGGCCACCTTCGACGAGAACCGTGCCCGGTGCTACTCCATGCTTCATCGCCTGGTGAAGGAGTCCCTGGTATGCGCGCGCATGCTGTTTCTTCTATTTGCTGCCCATTTGCTGTGTTGAGCTCCTGTCTAATGTCCTCTCTTCCTCTCTTCCTCTCCTTTGCCCTCCTTTGCCCTCCTTCTTCTTTGCTCTTCTTTGTCCTCCTTCCTCTCCTTTGCCTTCTTTCCTCCCCCCCCCCCTCGGTCACAGAACTTCCCCGCCGAATTCACCCACCTCGAGCTGCCCGTCCTGTCGAAGAAGCACGCCCGTGCCCTGAAGCAGCAGCAGCGCAAGGACGCTTACCTGAAGCACCACGCCTCGCGCACGCAGCTCCAGGCCCGCATGAAGGAGGTGGCCCCCGACACCCGGGCCGCGCGCCTGCGCCACGTGTCGGACGTCTTCACCGACCTGGCGGCGGACATTCGCCAGGCCGAGGAGCTGGCCGGCGGCCCGGCCCCCATGGCGTCGACGCTGCAGCCGGTGGACCGGTCGCACTACATGCTGGCCGGCCTGGGCGGCATCAAGGCCGGGCAGAACCCGGTCGCCACGCTGGAGGAGGACCTGTCCATTCCCGGGGTCAGTGGGACCTTCGATGCGGAGGCCCTGGAGCACCCGCTTGCCCGGGAGACCCATCTGCCTGTGACTCAAATTCGCCGGCACAAGGCCATGGATCCGTTTGCCGCGCAGCCGGTCACCGACCTGCACGATCCGGAGATGGAGCGCGACCATGACACCGACCCGTTGCGCTTCCTGCGCCCGGAGGAGGTGGCCGAGGACGGGTCGGCCGGCACGGACCAGGACCAGCTGGCGGAGCTGCGTGCCAAGATCAACCACCTGCAGTATCTGGTGGACCTGCGCATGTCCATGCTGACGGACCTCGTCCGGCCGGAGGATGCCCGTGTTGTGGCCGACACGCTGGACATGAGCGAGGCCGACCGCGAGGAGGCCGAGGCCCAGCTGGCCAAGCTGGTGGCCTTTGCCCAGCGGTTCCCCAACCACGAGAAGACCCCGAAGAGCCTGGAGTATGCGGCCCGGCTGCTGAATGCCCTGTTCCATCTGTCCCTGCCCAAGGGCATGGAGGGGACGGAGGAGCTCCGTGCCTATGTCCATGGGTTCTATGACAAGATCCCGCGTACCATCCCGGCGCACATGGTGCAGCTGATCCTGCCCGACTGGGCCGTGCATCTGGTGGGCTATGAGCGTCAGACGGACGCCAACACCGACGAGGTGCTGACCCTGCTGCAGCAGCTGTACGACGATTCGATGCTGCTCGGGTCGCTGAAGTTCACCTACGAGCAGTCCCGCTTCGAGGCCATGAAGCAGGATACGATGGTGGTGCGCGACCCGCTGGGCTTCCCGGTGGTGCCGTTCAGCCCGCTGGCCACCGGCGCCGCCGGCATCCGCGATGCCTATCTCCGGAACATGGGCATGGGCCCGGATCTGCGCCACACCGACCCGGTGTACGATGCTCTGTATGCCCGGATGACGGAGCTTCGGGCCAGTGGCTGGCCGGGCGACTTCCACAACGACGAGGCCCCGTCCGAGACGGTGGCCGCGCAGCAGCGCTCCCGCGCCAAGGCCCGCAAGTCGGCTGCCCGCAGCTCCAAGGAGGAGTCCCCCAGCACCCCGAAGAGTGGCGGCACCCTGCCGCAGGCTCCCAGCTCGGTGTTCTCTTCGCACTTCACCCGTCGCTCTTAGAGCGCCGGTGTGTGCGTGTCCGTCTGTGCTTGCACGAGCGGGGGGGCGGGGGGGGGGGGGGGGGGGGGGGGGGGGGGGGGGGGGGGGGGGGGGGGGGGGGGAGTGCCCTGGGGCTCTCGCCCCTCCTCCCGGCTCTCTTGTTCCCCTCCTCTCCCCGCTTCCCTCCTTTCTTCCTTCTTTATACAAAACTAGATTTCCACCCGATGCGTGCGATTGTTTGTTGGCTGGGGCGGGGGGCGGGCGGGGGGGGGGGGCTTTGCTCGTGGCTCTTGTCGCTTCTTTTTTGCAAATGGCAGTCGAGCGGGGGCTACTGCCTTGCGGTGCGGTCTGGGTGCGAAAGAGGGCTGTCGCCGGAGGGGGGCGCGCCGTAAAGGCCCTCCTTCCCGGTGCTTTCCGACCTTCCCGCCACATGGGCAGGGGGTGTGCATCGATGGGTGGACTGCCGCCAGCGCCGTGACCGCCATTTGTGCCGGTGGCCCGCCCACTTGTTCCTCCGCCGTTGTGTGGCGCTTTGTGTCCGCCATACCCACCTGCACATAGATGCACGCGCATGTACACATAGAGGCGTGCGCATGTACACATAGATGCGTGCGCATGTACACATAGATGCATGCGCATGTATACATAGATGCACGTACACATACACACATACATATACACGCACATATACATATACATGCACATATACATCCATACACACATACATCCATATACATGCACATATGCATCCATATACATCCATACACACATACACACATACACACATACACACATACACACATACACACATACACACATACACAGCCAGGAGGCCGGAAAGCAACGAAAATCGTGATCTATATGTGTAAAAGAGGGGAAAGAGAGGAGGAAGGGGGTGCAAGAGGAGAAGAGGGAGGCACCTCCCAGCATGGACAAGGGCGAAGGGAGCTCAGGTGTGCGGAAGAGACCCGGTGCTATGGTGGCCACCCGCCGGGCCGGGACCGCTCGAGCCGGAGAAGGAGGCTGATCGCATGTCGGTGTTGAGGGAAATGGATGACGAGGATGACGAGACGGACAGCGATCCGGTGGAGGCCTGACGCTTTGGGCGCCGAGCGAAGTTGAGGAACTTCGAGGAGACTGACCGCGGAAAGCCTGGGTGTGCAAGGGGAACCAGGGCCGGGGCCGGCAGGCAACGACAAAGAGCCAAAAACCGTTGGTTAGAAGGAGGCGGGCCGCGGCGGCGCACAAAGGGACTGCAGCGCGGCGCGTACCGGACGGGCTGCCAGGCGACTTGTCCGGCAAAGAGCCCGATGCAGACGAGGTGGTCGAGTAGAGCGACGTGGAAGAATATGAAGAGGGGAGCGAGGCCTCGGGCAGGTAGTCCTCGACCAGGCGCTCCAGATGGAAGGAGCGGCTCTTCTTGAACTTCTCCCGGAAGGAAGGAGCCCGGTAGGCGGCGTTCTGCTGGTTGACGACTGAGAAGCAGGGCAGGAGGGAGAAGAGGGTGAGTGGCCGAGGGAGG